GCCAAATGTTTAAGAGTCTCCTTGAAGAATTAATTAGAGCAGGGGTCGCTAACCTTTTGGACCTCAGGGACCACCAAACTCATAATTTTAAATCCCGTGGAGCAGAGACCCTGGGAAAATACCAAAAAAACTCTGCAGGAAAATTCCCCACCCAGTTTTCCTATCAATCGATAGTTCTTTATTTGGGATTGCAGGACACCGTCTCCAGCTCCGTTCTCAGGGAGAGAGAGAGAGAGAGAGAGAGAGAGAGAGAGAGAGAGAGAGAGAGAGAGACTTTTGGCTTCATGCAAGGAAAGCAGCAGAAGCAGCAGAAGTCTTTCTTTCTCTGCCCCCAAACTCCACCAGAAATGAGTCTTTGTGAGACTTGTCGCACTAGCGCAGCCTCTTAGAGCAGGATGCCTTGCAGGGTCCCAAAGACTCATTTCTGGCAGAGTTTGGGGGAGAGAAAGAAAGACTTTTGCTGCTTTCCTGTGTGCAGCCCAAAGCAGAAGAAAGCAGCAGAAAGAAACAGCCCGGTGGCCAGGCAAGTTCCCACCCTCCGCCCATTTACCCCTCCCCTCACTACCTCGTGTTGTTTGCAATGCAAGTGACAAAAGCCTTGTGTTCCCACGGGCCATGTGGGCAGTGCAGCCTTGTGTTCTTGCGCAGCCTGGATTAATTGCTTTGGGCGGGTGCTTTGGCAGTGACATTTCTCTGGCCCACTGGTTGGCGACCACTGAATTAGAGCTGTGTTTCTCAATGTCAGCAACTTTAAGAAGGGTGGGTTTCAACTTCTAGAATTCCCCAGCCAGCATATATTATACTTATGGTCGTTATGTTCTCAAAGCCTGGCATTTGTTTCTAGAAAAAGAAATTTCATGCTGCAAATCTTGTAGAAACATTGTATTCTGCACACAAAAAAAATCTCCAATTGATGATGCCTCCTTGTAGTTTCTTCATGGTAAAAGTAAATGGATAAAGTAATTTCCCAGGGGCAAATTAAACTACTACAGAAGTGGAAAAAATAGCTTCCTTTTTTATAGTTAAACATATTTGCAAATTATTAAAGCTTTTATTTGCATGCACTTGTATATATTTTATTTATGCCATATTTCAACGTTTTCATAAATGTATTTCTTAGCAGGCATTTCTCCCAAAGTAACAAATGTTAGTAGGAAGTACTAGAGGATATTCTGACTCATAATTACATTTTAAAGATAAACTGGCTTCAGAAACAAGACATATGCTTGTCAACAGAACTTGAATACCAAATAGTGATTACTCCCAACTAACAGATTAGGGGCCAATTGCTGGTCAAAGGTGAGCCAACTTTTCATGTATCACAGATTATTAAATGTCTCCAAAGACATACATTTGAGGCCAATCAGCTAAGAAATTTGAATCACCTGCATTTGCCCCAAGTCCATAACACCCATCCATTTACCTTTCATCCATTCTAATGCATTGAGTAATATCTGCAGCTCCCAACAGAGTCTATTGCAGAATTGACTCCTCTGCAAAATTTAACCTATCTGAAGCTAGAAGTCCATCTTAGTTAAATGATGTTAGTAGTAGAGCTAAAACAAGTTTGAAACCAATGGTACTTTTAGTCCCAGTAAATAATATAGGTCAGCAAGGGAATGTGCATATACTAGATTTGTATGATCTGATTCATAATTTGATAACATCCCAATTTTACAAGATATCCCAAACTACATCTATATAACATATATAACCATAACCAATCTTCATTCAGGTTCATAAATGGAGAATGCATGTTATTCAAACAATAATTCAATATTTATTGAATTCAATAATTTAGTGGATAATTCAAATACTGAGTTTGTCCTACATGATATTATAGCAATAAGAGATTAATAAATCAAAGAAATAAATTCTAGATCAGCTGGAAATTTCAGATGTTTTTAGATAAATGAAATAAAAGTGCAAAAAATATTAATTAAACAATAAGGAATATTTTACTCACTGGAGATACTATATACCTAATACCTTTCAAGACTTATTGCACTCTAGGGATTATCACATTTCACAGAAGAGACAAGATTAACGTACAGTATAAGCCTCTTGGGCTAATTCAAAAAGGATAGAAAAGTTTCTTCTGCGAATTCTTACAGAAAGAACTAGCACAAGTTTTCTTAAGATAAAATACACCAATGAATGGAGTTTTTTCTTAGTGCGACAATCAATGTTGAACCAATCCAGCAAAAATGCTTTGAATAATTCTGTCCGCTTTTCTTGACTTTGAATTTACAGTGTAACTCAATTCTTGCTGTAGCGCCATGACTTTTCTTAACATTAGTAGTGAGAAAAATCACTGCTTTTTTTCTTCCTATTATAATCAACAATCAATACATGCATTTAATTATTTATGATATTTCTATGCTCATCTTAATAAATAACAATACTAATATAATCAACATATTTAAAAAAATAATGCAGACCAGCCTACGGTCGTAAGATTTCTCAGTACAATATTAACAAGGTCTGACTCTGCTTATCTTTGTGAGCCCGCATGATGAGCTCTGACCAGTTAAGAATGCTCTTTGGTCAGGTAAGAAGGGTGGTCAGGCCAAGTATACAATTTTCAACTATAGGAGCAAGGCTACCAGCAATAGCATAACTAAAAGGAAGAACAGCATCCCTCTCATCATCCCTCTCATTTGGATGCAGTACAACCCTACTCTAACATCAGTCTGCACTCCAAGACATAATGGTATTAAAACCAGAATCATTTAAGTGCACAATTACCATATGCTTCAATATCCTAGGCACAGCAGCAAGGCAAAGTGAAATTCTCCCAAAAGGTACTGTTTGATGGGAGAACCTGGTATGTCAGGGCCTCAAGGTCTGTGAGAACAATTTAATACCACACATATGATTTCCAAACAATTTAAACTTGAATACAGAACAAGCTCATATTGTGAGGTTAAATCTACATTTTCAGTTAGAATCAGCAGGCAGCTCTGGATAGTCAGATACAGAGGTACTTCATTAAATTCCTAATCCCAGGAAAGCATCTGTATGCATTTGGTTGAAAAGTCTATGATCATTTAAATCTAATGAGATAGATAAAATAGTAATTCTGAAAAAAACAGAAAGGGCATTTTTGTGGTGGGCATGGTTGCTTTAAATAAAGCACAACATAAAAGATAGGCCTATGCACACCTTATGGTATCTTTAGCAGAAAGCATCACCTGTGTTTAATATAGCTTATTCAGATGGAAGTGAACATATTTACCAAGTGAATGAAAGAAAGAATTATCTTTCACCATGATGGTAATAAATGGATTTCCTCTTGAGTGACAATGAGTTGTAACAGAAGTGCATATTGACTTTTACCTTCCTTCTAGTGAGGAGAATGAAAAGTCAAGAGTTACCACTTTAATATCAGCCAAGGCAAGTCTATTAGTTGTAGTATGGGTGGATCCAGGAAATCATGGTTAAAACTATGTTTCTAAATACTGATGTATACTTTATTAAATCATTCTAGTACTTTTTTTCACCCATCTTTTCACCTGTAACAATTTAAATCAGTACTACATGTGCTTCATGATGTAAAAGTACAGAATTGTGATAAGGAACTAAAGCACATTGATTTTGTAAACATTTTATGGGTACTCGGTAGCAATTTTAAGAGACATAAGAGTCTCAGAATAGTTCTTGTTCCTTTGAAGATAACAGCATTTAATTTTTTGTTTAAGATGACAATTATCATATAAAACCAATTTAAAAAAAAGACAAGATTCAGGAATTGTGGAGAATCACAAGTAGAACCTTTGCGAAGATATTTTGTAAATGATTAGATAACTTAATCAGTTACTAAATAATTAGGTTGCTTAATAAGTTATATCCATAAAGTATATATGGAGATTCCCAATCATCCAGGTATGGTTGTCCCAAAGATGTTTTTCTTTGAAAATGAAGAAAATTCTTCTGAACTGAAGAAGCTTCTCCAATCCAAGCATCTTTGGGTTATTCATAAAGTAATTCTAAACTTCAACATGCCTACTTAAATGTGTAACATATGGAATAAAACATCTGTTTTGTGTTACTATTTTAATCAGAATCTACGGGGTTTACTTACTTTGGTGTAAATAAAAAAACGTAAAGCAGACTATAACTATTTTGCAGAAGATTTTATATGCACTTTAACAAAAACATAGCATGCTAATTATAAATATTTAACAGAATGTTTTGGATTGAATTTGCCGAGCTTGAGATCTGCCACCTGTGCTACATCATAAAAATGATCAGAAAGTAATTAGCTAAGTAGGTTAGCTAAGTAGGTTGTCCTAATGCCTCTATCAAGAACTCATGCCACTTACAAGGGTTGGTTTTTTTAATAAGCCTCAAAGAAGTAGCTGGAAGTCTTTTTGTCCTGAAGCTCTTGTTGGACTCCACAGGGATAATGATCAGTTTCAATTTATTTGGGGAGAATAAAGCATTGGCAAGATGGTGGTTTTCTTAGATTAAAAAGATTTTGTGGAATCATTTTAATCTGACTTGCAGCCTAAAATGTTTTAAGATGTGTCAATCAATTTCTACAGCCACAAATTAAACAAGGTAAGATATTTATTTGACCCATCAGCCTTTTTACTTCCACATATTATTACGAGAAGAATGTTATGCATCATACCACTGGACAAATTACACTAATGATGCCTGACCTTATCTTTAAGAATCCAAAGAAACCTGTAAGTCTCCTAAACAAACTTCAGCTGTCACGAAGGGTTAGATCTTAACACATTTAAAATAAAACTGAGCTGGATAGAGAGCCTTCTAGGAAGGATATCCATTTGGATATTTAAATTGCGGTTGAAATGGTTGCACTTCTTGCAGCTCATAAAAACCTGTAAATTCTTCAGCTGACCAGAAGTAAATAACAATCTCAAAATTTGGCAAACGTTCATTTAAAAAAAAAAATATTTTGGTAAAACATACATCTGTAAAAAAAGAAGAAATAGGCTGGAAAACATAGGAACACAAAACATTCAACTTACCTGAATGGTAGGTGTGGAGCGATTTTTTCGCGTTGTAGTAGTGGCCATAGTAGTGGTAGTTTCCATGACGGTGGTGGACATCTCTGGTGGCATAGAAGTTGTGGGAGCTGTCCCCAGAATAGATGGCACTTCACCAACCAGCCGAACACTTCCATTGATTTTGATGTTGGGGTTGTTTTCTGCTGCCATGTTCAATACTTTCAAGCCATTGTAATAGAGACCGGAAAGCTGACCTTGGAAGAGACGCCCTCTATCTTTTCCTCCAATGGCTATTTGAGCCTGGGTGTTGAAGATCGTTAACTGTCGTCCTAAGTGAAGGGGGGGGGGGTGAACATTGTTATTGCCAGGAATATTCTTCCCCCTTTTTAAAAACCAAAATGTTTTATGTTATGTCCTGGTTGAATGGGTGGAAGATCAGAGTGAGTTTTCTGACATTGGTGGTGATGAAAATTGTGATGGCTGAGTGACTGGATGCAACACTACAAAAAATTGTTTCATTGTGTTACAAATTAGGATAAACCAGATCAAACAAATAACAATGGAACCAGATTTTCTTGGCCTTATTCCCATAAATGTAAACATATTTAGCAGAAGCCAGGATTCCAAATTTCACCCAAGTGATGAACTCAATCCAGTTTTAAGATCAAGCATTCTGCAAGGTTTTTTTTACTGAGAATCTGAGAGAGTCCAGTTCAATGAAACTACTCTGATTTTTGCATATTATGAAATTTAAGAAAATTTGATCCTTGCATGGACTGAACAAAGATTTAATCCTATGATTTGGAAAAAGATATAGCATTATAAGATGGATAAATGTATGCTTCATGACTCCTTAAAACATAAAATAACTATATTTCTGAATGAGGATATTATCTGCATTTAAATAAAGTGCAACTTTAAGACAATATTGGATTATCATTTCTATAGAAGAAAACAAAATATATCTTAAAATAAAATTAGTGTAAACAAACAATTCTATTCCTTGGATACCTCACTTTCACAGTAAAGTTCTATGCAGTCATTTCCACCTCACACTGAAGTTATGGAAATCAGATCCAGTACCTTGCAGAAAACTAAATCCAAGCTAGATTAGTTTTCTGCAGAAAACTAAATCCAAGCGAGAAGGATTCTTATAGTCTTCTTTTTAAAGCAGTGGTCGCCAAATGGTGGGCTGTGGCCCACTGGTGGTCCATGAGAAAATTTTGGTGGTCCGCAGAGAAATGTCCCCCCAAAGCAATTAATCCAGGCTGCGTGGAATACAAGTCTGTGCTGAGCACTAAGCCGCCCACATGCTGGCCCCACCCTTCGGTCGAGCCCAAACCTGCAAAAAGCAGTGCAGCCCTCACCAGCCAGGACGAGGTAATGGTGCTGTTGCAGCAAGAGGGGGCTGGCAGCAGAGGCAGGCTGAAGTGGCTATGGAGATGGCTGGAAGGTGCAAATTTGCACATTACAGGTGCCAGGCCCTATGGTGGAGATTTCCAATCCCACCACGGGCCAGTCCCATATTCCAGAGCTCCAGTAATCACAAGACTGGCCCTTTGGTCACCCTGGAGAAGCTCATCCATGGCAGGCCGATGCACAGGTCAGTTCTGTGACTACTGTAGCTCTGGAATATGGGACCGACTTTCCTACTGTCAGCAAGCCACCGCCAATCAAATTTCATATTAGTGGTCCGCGGGATTTGAAATTATGAGTTTGGGGGGGGGTCCCTGAAGTCCAGAAGATTGTTGACCCCTGCTTTAAAGTATCAGTTCCTAAACACAGGTTTATCTTTGAAAAGTAGCCTATACTTTGACTAGTAAGCAATTCTATGGAGGGATGTTTTGAAAAGAGAGAATATAGTGGTGAACCTGAACTCTGCTAGGATCTCAAAATGAACTGTTAGTAGGTTCTACAATATATCCCCCATTTTTTCCAAGGATTGCTTTTTCTTCATCAGTACTAATAATGTGTCAGAAACCCAAATTTGATTGTACAGAATCATCATTGTGAATCTTCCTTGAGATTGCAGAAATGAATTTCCCAATTCCTTAAAGGGAAGCAGGAATAATTCAATTCTAGTCAAAAATGAATCCCCACAAACAATTTCCAATTCTTCATTCTACATACAAATCAAGGACATATTCATCCCATTAATTCAAAAAGACAATTCAAATTTTGACAAATTTTTTCTCTTTCTCTTGTTCTTGCCTCATCATTTCTGGAAAATTAACTGAAATTTTCAAGAATTACATTCCTTGTATATATGATTTCTTTGCATTCAGCTTTCCAAATGACAGCTATAAATTTTATATGATAAATCCAATATGTAAGCTCACCTGGATTTAATATTTATTAATGTGTTTTAGAGTGTATTAAATGTAAATATCCATTGAATAAAGAACCATACTAGCCACATTTCAGAAAATAAAGTGGAATTAGTATTATTTCAGTCAGTCCACTTCTCCCAACATTTACACACACATGTCCATTCCCTCCCCTCCTCCCTTGCACACTCACCACTTTCTTTCTCTTTTCTACCCTGATAAATGCCAAATTCTACTGTGTCATAAGTAGAATCTAAACCCAATTACTGATTCTCTGTGATTAAAGTAGATCAGAATAGGAGGGGGAGCTCACCAATTTTGGTCGTCGTGGCAGGTCTCGAAGTCAAGTGGTGATGCGGTGTTGCATCATCTAATGGTGACAGGATGGGTCATGGGGAAGACAATTGGGACAAGAGAAGAAATGCATCTGAAAGGAATTCCTATTTCAAGGAGGATCCTAGCTAACCAAGCAAAGTAGATGTTTATGGGAAACGCTGAGAGTTTGAGGAAGCAGAAGGCACATCTTCATGTGCTCTCCACTACTATAACAAGAAACAGATCTTCATTAAGCAAAGATGGACTAGTGTACAAATGTAAAAATAGCAAATTAAAAGAAGAAAAAAAGTGAAAGGATTGATATACTCTGTCCTTGGAAAGCAATTAAATCTTAATTTTTGAAATCTCTTCTATGATCTCTTTCCTCTCATGCCCTTTTCTCCTTATCATATGGATTTGTTGCATGTGGCTTGGGAGTGGCATGTTTCATTTTTCTGTTGTGTGAGAGAATAGTAAATCTGGCTTGGCTCAATTTTTTAAAATAAACAAATAATTGCTATAGTGATAATCTCACAGCCATCTTTAGGTTATAGAGATGATTGTAATAATAAGACTATGTATACTCCAATCTCTTTCAAGCAATGACATGATATCACATGGAAAATTCTGATGGGCTCTCATTAAATTTGGACATACAATACTATTCGCAGGATCATTTTTTCAGAGATGCTATAATATTAACAACTGCATTTTTCTGTTCATTCTCATGCAGTGTTATCAGCTGGAAAATGACACTTGAAGCAAATACTTTATTATCAGTCTCTGACTTTTCCACAGATAAAAAATGTACAGGCTATTCAACAGCCACAAAATTACACATGAATTAGGACTTCTGCTCAAAACCTACCCATGTTCTTTGGGTACATTTCTGAGAGGAATTAATCAGTCCCCCCAAGAAGGTCATAATATAGGGAGTGGGGAAAATTTCCTAGCTTGGAAAAATATAATAACCCAGAAGTAATTCAAATTAGCAGTTTGAAAGTGCTCTATTCTTTCTTTGGGCTTCAGAAACAAAAATTACAGAGAGGCAATGACATTTCAAAACTTATGTCCAGATTCTATGACCAACAGCCAGAAAATGGCAGAAACTGGAAAGTGATCTACATAGTTTACTCCATTTTTTTCCAAACTATTAACAATTGACAAAGACTACCATGAGACCCAACTGCTTTTCTGATAATGACATCCTTCATGTCTAATGACACAAAGCAAAGTTAGTGGATTCCATTAAAACATACTTTTAGTTTCTTTCACAATCCAAGGAGAACCAAAGACAAAAAAAAAAAAAATACTATACCCACCCTTTGGAGATCACCAAAGGATGGGTAGGGTATAATTGTCATATAGTATTTAGAGCAGAAATTGCACTTGTTGAATGTACCATGGAAGACTTGTCATTGATGAAATATACTTGTAGGGTAGGGCCATACTTAAGGGAGAGATGTGGTTTGGAAAAAACATAGGTGTGCCTATAGCACCTGTTGGAAACACTTTCAGGTAGTGTTTTTTTCTTGGAGTTGTGCAGCTGCCCTTTGTATCTGCCACACAATACTAGGAACAGATGTGTTTGATTTAAGGAGTTTCCAACAGGTCCTACATGCAAATCCAACATGTTCTGAGTCATATTTCTTCCTTTGAAGAACTATAAATACTTCCCGGAGTGTCAGAAGTGGAGAGTTTTTAAATGGAAAGAATTATGGAATGTCTTTGGAAATTGAAAGAGACATGTTAGCCCATTGAGTCCAATCCTTGCTTAATTCTGTAATTCAAATTACAGGATCCATGACAACTATTTGACTCTATTTGAACATATCATGTAAAAGTGACCATCACCTTCCTAGTTAATGCTTCACTTTCAAAGAAACTTGATTGGTTTGTTTTGAGAGAGTTTAATGTGTTAAGGACAGATTTTGCATCTCATGTTTCTTAATTAACTTCTTCTATTTTTAGTTGGTTTAGACACCTTAATATCAACCAATGTCTTTGCCAATGCTTAGCTTATCCAGAAAACTCAGAGTTAACCTCAAATTTAGTACATTCTCTCTCATGGTCCGTAATCTTTGGAACAGCATCCCCCAGAGTTTATAGTTACTACTCTCCAAGGGATATGTTTCCAGGCCTACTTGTGGAATCCATCACATTTTTGTGTATTTTATTTATTTGGCTCTGTCCTGATGATTATGATTTTTAAATTATTCATTTTAAATTGTGTAAGACACTCAGAGACTTTTTGGAGTAATACAGCTGCTAAGTCCAATAAATTAATGTATTAACTGTTGGAATTAATCTTCAGTTAATTTTCATCTTAGGCATTTCAATCTTAGGTATTTCAGTTATGCTATGTTCATTAAGTTACTTCATAGATCTACTTGGTAAAAAAAAACCAAACCAAATTTGCATTTAATCTCTGTGCTGTTTCTTTATGGCTGTTGTTGCATGTGAGACCCCAATCTAGTTCAAAACCATTATGAATGGGCAAGAGAGGTTTAAATATTTACTGTTGCTTTCCAAAATTTGTGTCTTCCAATAGGAGTTTAAAAAGGCTGTGAAACTCCATTGGTGCTAGTGTGTGAGGGGGAGCAACTGAACATGTGTAAGCAAATGAGAAAGCTTTATTTGATTTATTTGTTTTAGAAATATAACCATGCATATTGTTCCAACTTCCT